TATATATATATATATATTATTCTCTCGAGGACCAACTATTATAATAATTCCCATTTTACGTTTAGATAACAAGATTTCGAGCAGTTGTTCATGATCCTTTACTTAACTCGTTTTACAAGAGATAATGCAAGTTATTTATTATTACATATTTGTAAAGGCTTGGTGCAATAATTATGGCCAATCATGTTATATCTTGCAATCATCTAATCTCAAATCTAATATTATTATTATTATTATGGCTATTAGTTGCGAAACGGTGAATTGATCCTTGCGTCCCCTTGATATAAGGCGTCTACTATTGCCGGGGTAATTCCTTCCTTTCAACATCTGAGGCATGCAAGAAACGTTTTCTTTTTCTTTCTTTCTTTCTTTCTTTCTTTCTTTGTTAACCCTCCTCTTTTTTTTTGTTTATTTTCTTACTTTTTTAACCCTTCTCTTGTTCATGTGTCCTTTCTTTCTCCCTTCCTTTCTCTCTCTCTCTCTCTCTCTCTCTCTCTCGTTTCTCTCTCTCCCTCTCTCTCTCGTTTCTCTCTCTCCCTCTCTCTCTTGTTTCTCTCTCTCCCTCTCTCTCTTGTTTCTCTCTCTCCCTCTCTCTCTCGTTTCTCTCTCTCCCTCTCTCTCTCGTTTCTCTCTCTCCCTCTCTCTCTTGTTTCTCTCTCTCCCTCTCTCTCTTGTTTCTCTCTCTCCCTCTCTCTCTCGTTTCTCTCTCTCCCTCTCTCTCTCGTTTCTCTCTCTCCCTCTCTCTCTTGTTTCTCTCTCTCCCTCTCTCTCTTGTTTCTCTCTCTCCCTCTCTCTCTTGTTTCTCTCTCTCCCTCTCTCTCTCGTTTCTCTCTCTCCCTCTCTCTCTCGTTTCTCTCTCTCCCTCTCTCTCTCGTTTCTCTCTCTCCCTCTCTCTCTTGTTTCTCTCTCTCCCTCTCTCTCTTGTTTCTCTCTCTCCCTCTCTCTCTCGTTTCTCTCTCTCCCTCTCTCTCTCGTTTCTCTCTCTCCCTCTCTCTCTCGTTTCTCTCTCTCCCTCTCTCTCTTGTTTCTCTCTCTCCCTCTCTCTCTCGTTTCTCTCTCTCCCTCTCTCTCGTTTCTCTCTCTCCCTCTCTCGTTTCTCTCTCTCCCTCTCTCTCGTTTCTCTCTCTCCCTCTCTCGTTTCTCTCTCTCCCTCTCTCGTTTTCTCTCTCTCCCTCTCTCGTTTCTCTCTCTCCCTCTCTCGTTTTCTCTCTCTCCCTCTCTCGTTTTTCTCTCTCCCTCTCTCGTTTCTCTCTCTCCCTCTCTCGTTTTCTCTCTCTCCCTCTCTCGTTTTTCTCTCTCCCTCTCTCGTTTTCTCTCTCTCCCTCTCTCGTTTCTCTCTCTCCCTCTCTCGTTTCTCTCTCTCCCTCTCTCGTTTCTCTCTCTCCCTCTCTCGTTTCTCTCTCTCCCTCTCTCGTTTCTCTCTCTCCCTCTCTCGTTTCTCTCTCTCCCTCTCTCGTTTCTCTCTCTCCCTCTCTCGTTTCTCTCTCTCCCTCTCTCGTTTCTCTCTCTCCCTCTCTCGTTTCTCTCTCTCCCTCTCTCGTTTCTCTCTCTCCCTCTCTCGTTTCTCTCTCTCCCTCTCTCGTTTCTCTCTCTCCCTCTCTCGTTTCTCTCTCTCCCTCTCTCGTTTCTCTCTCTCCCTCTCTCGTTTCTCTCTCTCCCTCTCTCGTTTCTCTCTCTCCCTCTCTCGTTTCTCTCTCTCCCTCTCTCGTTTCTCTCTCTCCCTCTCTCGTTTCTCTCTCTCCCTCTCTCGTTTCTCTCTCTCCCTCTCTCGTTTCTCTCTCTCCCTCTCTCGTTTCTCTCTCTCCCTCTCTCGTTTCTCTCTCTCCCTCTCTCGTTTCTCTCTCTCCCTCACTCGTCATCTCTCTCTCTCTCTCGTCATCTCTCTCTCTCTCTCGTCATCTCTCTCTCTCTCTCGTCATCTCTCTCTCTCTCTCTCTCTCTCTCTCACTTCTTTCTTTCCTTCTTTCTTTCCTTCTTTCTTTATCTCTTTCTTTCTCTCTTTCTTTCTCTCTTTCTTCCATGCTTCCTTTCTATCTTCCTCCACCCTCCTCTTTGAAGAAGCCGGCTTGCCATGTCGCTGGAAATGAAGCCATCACCGAATTTCCCGGACGCCTTCGTTGTAAGGTTTTGTGCATTAGCGATGGAGATGAAGGTGGAGGCGGGCGGTTCATCATCATCATCATCATCATCATTATCATTATCATTATCATTATTCCCGACTTCCACACGTCCCTCATTCTCAAGCCCCTCGCTAACAGCCGAATGATGTCTCGCTTCCGCTGCCTGTGTGTGGGTGTGTGGAGGGGGTGGTCGGGGTGGGTAATCACTTTGGGGGGGAGAGGGGGAGGGGGGAAGCGTTTTGTGTCTTCCGTTTTTTTTTTTTTTTTTTTTTTTTTTTTTTTTGGGGGGGGGGGTGTCGTTGTTGCTTTCCAGCTGCATTGTTCCATTCTTGTGTTAGCCACGTGAGGATCACCCCCCCCCCCCCCCCCCGCGAGACAGT